GGGGAGGCTAGCCTGTGTGGGGGCAGGAGGTATAGGAGAAATCTCTGTACCTTCCTCTGAATTTTGCTGTAACTTAAAACTGCTCTAAATAATAAAAATACAAACAAAAAACATGAGTTTCATGACATGTAAATAAATTATATCTCAACAAGAGTGAGAAAGCAAAAGAAAATGACGAGTCAAGAGACAGGAGGGGCACCGGGGTGACACACTCCTTTAAGCATCTGACTCTTGGTTTCAGCTTAGGTCATGATCTCAGGGTCATGAATTCGAGCCTCGTGTTGGGCTCTATGCTCAGCGTGGAGTCTGCTTGAGATTCTCTCTCCCTCTCCCTCTGTCCCTCCTGCTCTCTCTCTTTCTCAAATAAATAAATCTTAAAAAATAGAAAAGAAAAGAGAGAGAGAGAGAGGAAATCCCACACCCATCCTATAGAACTTTCAGGGGCAGAAAAAGGATGAAACACAGAAGAGATCCTAAGGAAACAGGGGAGCTAAAGAAAGCCTGAAGCACTTAGACTGAATTTGCCAAAACAAATTAGTAAAAAGAAATACACATTCCAATAAAATTTCACAGACCTGGAACAAACAGAAAAATCCAGACACTGAAACACAATCAAACTAGTCACATATAAAGAAGAAAAACACAGGCTGGCCTTAAGTCTTCCAGAGCTGTGCAAACACAGCGAGCTCCAAAGCATGACACAGGGGTGAGTGAGCCCAAGGGCACAAGAAGGTCTCAGTCAGTCAGCCCCCTGAGCCTAAACCCTGAAACCAGAGAGAAAGCCGTGAGGAGGTGACAACTAGAGAAGCAGAGACTCAGAGATCTTTAGTAAAAAAAAGAAAAGAAAAACTACTGAAAAAAATGAAATCCAATCAACTAAGGTGAAACAGAGCAAAAAATTCACAAATAAACTGTATTTAAAACACTGATGATGGACACTTGTTTACCTTATTCAACTGTCAAACTTATACCAAAAGTTAGAAAATCCTTCCTAAACTTTATATGACTCCCAAGGGACCCCAACTAAGCAACATGATCTTGAAAAAGAAAAAAGTTGGAGGTCTCACACTTTCTGACTGCAAAACTTAACTATTACAAAGCTGTGGTAATCAAGACACTGTGGGACTGGCATAAAGATGGATATTTAGACGAAATAAACCCTCACATATCTGGTCAAAGGATTATCGACAAGGGTGCCATTCAATGGGGAAAGAATAGCCTTTTCAACAAATGGTGCTAGGAAAACTGTATATGCATGTGCAAAAGAATGAAGTCAAACCCTTACCTAATGCCATATACAAAAAGTAACTCAAAATGGATCAAAAACCTAAATATAAAAGCTAAAACTGTAAAACTCTTAGAAGAGATGAAAAGCTTTAAGACATTGAATTTGGCAATGGATTCTTGCATATGACATTAAAAGCACAGGCAACAAAAGAAAAAGTGGAAAATGTGAGTTTCAAAGGACACTACCAAGAGTGAAAAGGCAACCCACAGAATGGGAGAAAATATTTGCAAGTCACATAATCTGATAAGGGGTTAATACCCAGAAGATATGAAGAACTCTTACAAATCAACCCAATTAGAAAATAGCCAAAGAACATGAACGGACATTTCTCCAAAGGAGATAAACAGATGGTCAATAAGTACATGAAAAGATGCTCAACATTACTAGTCATCAGTGAAACGCAAATCAAAACCACAATGACTTACAGCTTCACACCCATCAGGATAGCTACTATTTAAAAAAAAAAAAAAAATTATGATGAAGAGGATGTGGAGAAATTGGAACACTTGTACACTGCTAGAGGGAATGTAAAATAGTACAGCCACTGTGGAAAACAGTATGATGTCTCCTCAAGAAATGAAAAGATAGAATTACCAAATAACCCAACAATTCCATTCCTAGGTATATACCCAAAATAACTGATAGCACAGACTCAAAGAGATATTTGTATACCAATGTTCATAGCAGTATTATCTGCAATAACCAATAACCAATAACCAAAGGTAGAACCTAAGTATCCAACAGGTAAAAAGATAAAATGTGGCATATACATGTAGGGGATGTTAATCAACGTTAGAAAGGGAGGACCTTCTGATACATGCTACAACATGGCTGAACTCTGAAAATGTTAAGCTAAATGAATTAAGCCAGCTGCAAAAAGATAAATGTTTACGATCCAATTACATTAGGTATAGAATAAGCAAATTTATAGAAACAAAAAGTAGAATAGAAGTTTACCAGGACTGGGAGAAGGGGAATGGGGAGCTAAAGTTTAATGGGTAATGGCTTCAGTTTAGGATGATGAAAAAGTTCTGGAAATTGATAGTGATGATGGTTGTACAGAAACCACTGAATTGTATACTTACTAAAATGGTCAATTTCATATGATGTATATTCCCACTGTGAATACAGTTAATCCAGTTTCTTAAAATATTATGCATTATTATATGTGGATTATATACCACAATAAAGTTAACTGGCAAAGGACACAAAATTTTATAAACACCCACTGTTGAAAGCTCTAACAAAAGGGCATTTTTATACACACCAACTGGGAATGCATGTCAATACAGTGTTTCTAAAGAATGTTTAAGCAATTTATCAGAAGTAGCAGAACTATTTATTGCCTTGTACTCATTTGTTCTAATTCTATAAATCTGCCCTAAGGGGAAAAAGAAAAAAACAGGCACCAAGATTTAAACACAAAAATGTTCATCAACGTATTATTTACAATGTTGTAATATTATCCAAAAATAGGGAACAGGGTAAATTAAATGATCAGGCATTCCTAGCATAGAAGAAAAGGCATACCTTGAAAAAAATCCTAGACAAATAGTTGATGACATTAAAAAATACATAACATATGGGTGCCTGGGTGGCTCAGTTGGTTAAGCATCCGACTCTTGATTTCGGCTCAGGTCATGATCTCAGGGTCGTGAGATTGAGCCCTGCGATGAGCCCCATGCTGAGCGTGGCACCTGCTTAAGATTCTCTCTCTCCCTCTCCTTCTGCTTGCTCTCACTCTCTCTCTCTCTCTCTCTCAAAAAAAAGTACATATGTTATAAGGAGAAAAGAAACATATTTTAATTTTATTTAAATTCAATTAACATTATATATTATTAGTTTCAGAGGTAGAGAGTTTAGGACTGATGAAGTGATTCATCAGTCTTATATAACACCCAGTGCTCATTACGTCACGTGCCCTCCTTAATGTTCATCATCCAGTTACCCAACTCCCCAACCTCTGCCCCCTCCAGCAACCCTCAGTTTGGAGAAACAAAAAATTCTATCATGTTATTCTATTTTGTTTTTCTATATGCTGAACAAAGCCAAGGAATAAACACATCTACTTCAACAGTGGTTATCCCCCAGCTAAGCTGAGGACCCTTATATGCTGTTAAGGGGATATGACCTGGGTCAGAGAAGGCCCCGCTGGAAGAACTGGTGTTTGAATGGAGGAAGACAATAAAAGAAGGTTCCAAGCAGAGGATTTGTGTACCTTATTATTTATCATTTTCCTAAAACACAAGCTGTTTTATAATGAAGCTTCAATCTAAAAGATGGGGGGGAAAAAACAGTACTTGGAAAGGATAAAAAAAAAAGTATTTTTTACAAGTCAGCAGGGGGCACCCCATTCAAGGATATAAGTTTTAGCTGAAGTGTCGGTGTTTTTGGTTTCTTTTTAGTGAGCACACCACAAACCCTCTCAAAAGTTTTACATGCTCAAAAATCACCTAAAAATCCTATTTGCAATGCCAAGTTTTACCTGGGGGAAGTAACCTTAGAAGATGCATAACAAAAATTGTCCAAAAAAAAAAAAAAGCATTTTGTGAATACCTTGTTTCCCCCAAATTTCGCCAACATGGAAGAATAATTGTTATTAGCACATTTCACAAAACCCCTTCACCTTTATGTTTTCGTGTGCTTCTCTAAATGAGAATACAAGATAAGCAGGCTTAAGAATACCAAGCACAACCACTGCAACCTCCACGCCCCAACATCTACCACCCAACCAGAAAGAATCAGGCACCATGCAAAGTAGCTCATGTACTTATCTCGTTCAAAGTTTAACTATTAACATCTACGAGGTAGATACACTATCCCCATTTTACAGTTGAGGAAACGGAGGCTCAGCACTTAAGGCAATTTGCCCAGAAGGCAGATCTGTGACTCACACCCAGGTCTGTCTGTATCCGAAGCCCACGCAATTCCATTGCCCCACACAGGGCCCCCTCCCCCACCATGGAGCTGCGACTCAGAAAGAGGTAATCATCCGGCCTGGTCTCACTGGCCACCGGAGCCCAGAGCCTTCTAACCTTTATCTAATGTGTTTTTCCACCATGGTTTGCTGCCTGCATAATAAGCAAATATACATCCTTCCATCAGGGGCTTACAGAGCATAATCCCATTAGATTTTAAATAACATCATGAGGAAGTCATGCATCGTGTAAGGGAAAGATAAGAGTCACAAGGGAAAACTCTGCAGGAAGCAAAACTAAAACACAGGAGGAATCAAGTGTTTAATAAAGAACACTCAAAAGAGGGGGCACCTGGGTGGCTCAGCCGCTAAGCGGCTGCCTTCGGCTCAGGTCATGATCCCAAGGTCCTGGGATCGAGCCCCCACATCGGGTTCCCCGCTCAGCGGGAAGCCTGCATCTCCCTCTCCCACTCCCCCTGCTTGTGTTCCCTCTCTTGCTGTGTCTGTCAAATAAATAAATAAAATCTTAAAAAAAAAAAAAAAAGAATACTCAAAAGAGGAACAGTAACAAAGTTTCCAGATGTAGTTTATATAATCCTAGAATTATATTTATAATAGTTTAAGGCCTATTTTGAAATCTTTTTAAATTTGCAGTTGTGATACCTATGATTTGCCTATGATTGCCTATGATTCAGAGTAATTATTACTTCAGTATATAAGAATTTGGACCTATGTGCTTTTGATAAATATTGTAACTATTAATGAATAATTTATTAAAATATAAATGATACTTACATATCCCAGTTTGGAGCTATTCGCAAATGCTGGATTAACAACTGGAACTAGAATTAAAAAAAATAAGATGTACATTTCATTCATGAAATGACACAGAAAGTGACTAACACATCTGACCTGTAGACAATGGAAATGTGAACCCTGCGCTAGGAGACAACAAAAAAAGTTCAAGATTACTGTCTATTCAACTGCTTTCAGACGTGAGGATTCAACAGTAATTTCGGCAAACCTATAATCTTGATAAATCATTTTTTCCACTGTAATTAGATCAAATTAATATTTTAGCACTAATGTTTTAATCTCAACAGAAATATAAAAGTTACATGCAAAAGGCACACTGCAAGGACCAGGAAAGGAGTCTTTACAACCAAACTACGTACCAGCGGGGAATGGAGGAGCCGGGTGGCCACGTCCTGGTGTCCAGCCACAACACACAGATAGCAAAGGAGATTGAGCTTGGCTCGGGAGGCCCCCATGCTCTTCTCAGTGGAGTCAATCTGTGAGCACACTCGCTGCAAAAAGTCATTCCAATCTTGGTCTTTTAGAAATACTAACTTATCCACTGGAGAGGAAAGAAAATATTAAAAGTAGGTATCATGTAAAAAAAAAAAAATGCTGAAAACATTACAAGAGAAATAAATGGAACATAGAATTTCAATAAATAAGATGAGGACTAAGAAAGTCCTAACTTTACAATGTCAAAACCAAAAAGTCCTCCGAAGATGACACTACTTTTATTTATTCTTCTCGATTCCTCTTTTTCTATCCAGGGAGACTTTTTCACTATGTGCATGGAAAACTATGCATAACAGATGCCTACAAGAGAATCATCCTACAATCTAGAAAATAACAAAATACAAAGCTAAACTGTATTACAAAAAAGCAAAATAGCCTTTGTATAAATAAAGCAATCTAGCCTTAAAATATCAGAAAAGCCAAGAACTGTAGAGTTGTTAAAAGGTTCCAATGAAATTATTAAGCATAACAGGTTAATAGTCCTCTGGAAAGTCCAAGTCCAAACCCTCCACAAACAGAAAACAAAAACTGGGCAATGAGATGCCATCTAAAACTAACATAGTTTCAGTTAATTTCTATCTTTAAACAAAATAAGCTGTAATAATAATTTCTTAAAATAATTCAACATAAAAGGAGAAAGGGAAGGAATATTATTTTGAAATACTCCTCTAAGGTTTTCATGAATAGTGGTTCTACTTGGCACAGTTTATTTAAATTTGAATATATTTTACTTTTAATTTACTTTGATTTGCTTTTAAATTATAGATTATACTCTAGCTATGACGACAAATTTTTTCTGGATCTAGCTTAATAGCTGCAAATAGATTTTATCAAACAAAATACACCAAAATTTAAGGTATAAAACAATTTCTGATGTTCATCCCAATTAAGACTTCCCATTAGGTGAAAGGAAACGTAATAATCACCCTTTAAATTACTTAAGTATCTCCATTCCCACACCACGAGATACCATAAGTATCTCCATTCCCACAAAAGTGAACCATCTGACCCCCGTTGTCAACTGCCCCACTCTCTGAAGTGGAATCTCAGTTCTTCATTATGGTCTCCACCCCTCTGTACCCACAAGAGCACCATAAGTGTTGAAAATTCAATGGACTCTACAAGGGGCAAGGGCAAGAGAAGGGCCCACCCAGCTTTACAAGGAACTTTCACTCCCCCAAGAGTACATGGCAGCCCAGACTCAGCTGAGTAAGGTGAAACGCTCACACGAATGGATTACAGGTTTATAACATACACAGCTCTGCCCCAAGAATATAGCCAGGTGGGAAGAACACAGGAACTCAGCTATTCAATAAGTAAGATATTCCATTTGCCATTAAATTTCTGATTTATACCTATCTTCTAAGAGTCCATGTGTTTGACAAGGCCGCTATAATCCTACCTGAATGTGCCGGTAGATGCAGTATCTTTGGATCAAATTTAATTGGTGGTTGTTTCATTATCTGTGGTAGAAAAAACAAAAAAAACTTCTAAGACACCTTTTGAGACAGCTATCTGTCTCCTAATATATCGCCTATTACCAGATTATAAATCAATTAGGGCAGAATAAAAAAAAAAACACTGAAAATTTGTCACTAAAAAGAAAAAGAATTCAACATTGCCCTTCAGCTTAAAATATACAAACACAGATAATAATTTATAAAAATAAAATCATTTCAGGGCACCTGTCTGGCTCAGTCAGTAGAACATGTGACACTTGATCTCTGGGTCGTGAGTTCAAACCCCACGTTGAGGGTAGAGTTTACTTCAAATACGTAAAATTTTTTAAATATCACTTCAATTGATATCTGCAATAAACTAAAGCTTCATTAAAAAAGAAGCACTTTATCCTGGTAAGGATATCCTTAAAAGGATATCTTCTTAAGCTAATCAACCTCTAGGTTAGAAATTTAGTCATATCAACAAATATTTATTGGGTGCCTGAGAGGGTGAGACAGTATGCTAAGTGCTACGGGGGATAACCAAGACATAAAAGACACAATCCTACGGTCAGAGAACTGATACTCCGATTGGGAAGATAAAAACTTAAAAAAAAAAAAAAAATACAATATTGAACAATGCAAAATGGGCAGGACATAATTAGAGTTGGAACATTCCACAGAAAGAAAATTTTCTAAAATATTAGAGAATGCGGCAAGCACTCTAGGCTGACAAGGTTTATGGAAGAGCTGGAGGGAGGCTGAGGTTTTAAAGAATGGTAAGGACTTCGTAGTTGAATTAGAGAACAAATCCATTGCAGGAAGCTGTAAACAGCATTAATAGGAAAGCACACAATTGGTTCATTTAAGAAAGGGAAAAAAACAGGTAGTTTGCTCCATAAGTTTGGAACAACAAAGGGTACTTTCATCCTGAGACTTTTAATTAAAAATTTCAACCATCATCTCTACGTCTAAATCCTCCAAAACTTCTCTATAGAGAATTTTAAAAAGCTTTGCTGGTAGTATTCTTGCCAAAATTGTATAACCTCATACATACTAATCATAAGAAACACTTAGACAAACCCAGCTTGAGCGACAGTCTACAAAATACCTGACCAGTACTCTTCAAAATGTCAAGGTCATGAAAGCCAAGGTCAGGAAAGCTGAGAAATAACAAGGCCATGAAAGCCAAGGTCAGGAGGTAGGAGGAAAAGAAGGCCTAATAGCAAACTGTTAACAAGAGACCCTAGAACAGAAAAAGGACATCAGTGGTACAACTGGTAAAATTCAATAAATTTGGGAATTTAGTTAATAGCACTGTACCAATGTTAATTCCCTGGCTTTGTTAACCATTCTATGGTGCTATAAGATGCTAACATTAGGAAAAGCAGGGTAAAAACTATACAGGAACTCTACTATTTTTGAACCTTTTCTGTGTGTCTAAAATTAGAAGTTAAAACAATTTCTACTAAGGCTTCCCCAAAACAATTAAGTATGGTTATAAAAGAAATAAAGAAACAGAAAAAATATGGTCAAAAGATATTACAAACTCTTCTTAGAAGGTCCACTGGGAAAATGACCCATTACGTTAAATTTGGCATGATACATAATTACTCTGCCAGATATCTGAACTCATGAAAAGAATTAGCTCCATTATGAAAAATTGTTGGGTAATCTATATTAAATCTTGTCTACCTAATAAATAAACATGCATCCAAAAACCCGTTTGTTCTAAATTACAGTAACGTTCCCCAATGAGAGGAGAGAAAATGGCCATAAATTAAATACAGAAAAAGACATTTAAAAAGAAAATTAAAATACAGAATAGGTAGTACAGAGGGCCTGAGAAATTAATTTTTCTTTTCTTAAGCAGAATACTCATCCTCCCCTAGTAATACAGCACTACATTCCAAGCAACATGAAGCAACAAAAATCACGCTGGGTCTGACGTACACTGTGAACCAGGACTCCCCAAGCTCCCAGTGACTCCCCACCATCTGGCCTGTGGTCCTGAACACCTGTGAGAGGGCATGGTCTCCGTGTGCCCTGCCCACCCACCCCAGTCGGGGGAGCGGTGGTCACCCACAACTGCTTTCCTAACACATCCACAACTACAGTGTTTGGAGAAATTCACCCAAGTATATATGGATAAACGAAGGGACTGAGGACGAAGGTCTGAGGCCTAGAAGCCCATGGACAGAGGGGAGGCAGAGCTGATGCAGAAGAGGAAGAAACTCACCACTCAGTGAAGCCAAAAACAATGCAGGAAGAGAAGAGGGTTACAGACAGGGCGGGCATTAGAAATGTAGACCCGTGGCACAAGTGACATAAAAGCAGACATGAGGAAAGGCAAAGAAAATAAGGCAAAGAATATTTGCGATGAAAATATCACCAGGATTCCAGCTCCCAGGAAAGTCTAAAGCTCAGCCCTCAGCTGTCACAGCATCTTTCCACACCTTTGGATTGTCGATAATCGGGGTGACAACAAGATCAGAGTCCATGTAGATAAGCTCTCTCATCTGGGATTCCAGGTCCTGCTGACTCAGGCGTTCACTTGTATTCTGAAATAAGAACAAAACTGAGGCTTTGTTTCTGTGACTAGTGAAGAGCTTTTAAAAACTGAGTTCATAAGATGCTGAGTAAGACACCACTGGAAGGGTCACCTAGATTAGCACACCTCACTTTGCTAATCAAAACACTTTCACAGTCTTCTTTGATCCTCACAAAGATCCTCAGTCCTCTGTATCATCATTCCCATTTTTTTTTTTTACAGAAGGAAAACATAAAGCTCAGACAAAGTAAAAGACTTGTTTGTGTTTACCACAAAGGTTGGTTAGGACCAGAAAACGGATCTTCTGTAGTCTAATGTTCTAAGCTATGATGAGGCAAACTGGTTTTTCAATCACCAGCATGGTTTTTATCATTCATCCACTGAACACACATCACTTTATTCTGCTTACAGAATATTCAGTATGAAGTTAAAAATTACAGCATAAAAGAATTTCAGGGTCAAGTTAGTACCTGTTACCTAAGTGTTAAAACCCTCTATAAAAGCTGAAGTAGAGTTAACACATAATGAAAATGAGTAACCAGATATTTGCCATCAGTTCCTTTGAGATGTTTCTTTGTGCTCAAACACTAAACAGAACTCTCATTCCTAGTGCTATGTCTTAGGACTTCACATCAGACAAAATAAGAGGATTTATGCATTAAGAATTTCCACTGAAACACTGAACAGCAAACTGAACAAGACAGAAAACCAAATCAGTGAAGTGAAAAATGAGGAAATTATCCAAAACTGAGGCAGGGGCATGAAAAAAGGAATAGAATAATTAGCTAACAAAGTTCCTGGAAACCAAGACCACCCTTTTGCAATTTAGAAAACAAACATATATAAAAAAAATACATGAAGAATAAGTATGGAACAACTTTGGAAAACAAAAATTTTAATGCTTAAAGGCATGGACTTTCAAGACAGAAAAACTTCAAAGAAAGGCCATAATGAATGACTTATATTCTAATATAACATATTCTTATAAGAATTAGGCAGACCAATTAGAAATTTATATGTAAAAATTAATTTCCTATATATAAACAAAATGTATGCACAGATAACAGATTACAAAAACGAAATACCAAGGATGCCTGGGTAGTTCTGCCTCCCCTTCATCCATGCTGGTGAGCATCCAACTCCTGATTTCGGCTCAGATCATGATCTCAGGGTCATTAGATCGAGAACTGCATCAGGCTCTGCACTGGGTGTAGAGCCTACTCAAGATTCTCCCTCTCCTTCTGTCCCTCCCCACCCCTACTCACGCTCTCTCTATAAAAAAGAAAAACCTACTCATGATAGCAAAACATAAAATATAATGCTCAGGAATAAACTAAATGATCAAACACTACAATCTACTAAATGAAAAAAAATTAAGTTAAAAAATTATGTTCCCTTGTTTGAAAATGAACACATATGTATAGAATCAAAAGAAGATATGTCAAAATATAACCAGTAGTTCCTCTGGGTAATTAAATTACAAGTAGGTTTTGTTTTGGGTGGTTTTTTTTTGGTTTTTTTTGTCCTCTTGTACAGTTTCTAAGTTTTCTACAATTATTTTCTTAAGATTTTATTTGAGAGAGAGAGAGACAGCACAAGGAGGGAGAGCAGCAGAGGGAGAGGGAGAAGCAGGCTCCCCACTGAGCAGGGAGCCCGAGGTGGGGCTCCATCCCAGAACCTGGGGATCATGACCTGAGCCAAAGGCAGACGCTTAACCGACTGAGCCACCCAGGTGCCCCCAAGTTTTGTAGAGGTATTATAAAAAGTTTGTAATTCAATCTAAAGTATCACTTAAAAAATTAGAAAAGATAAACTCTCATATAGTACTTATATAATTACTGCTTGAATATTCTCAATAAAATGATTAAGTGTACTCCTCTACAATAACCATGTGCCAGAAGAGATTCAACATCTATTTCAGATGCATTTTTTACTTTTACACTGATTTTCTATCTCACATATAACTAAACAATTATTGGCAGAATGAGATTATAATGCATTTATATTTCATTTCAATGCAGAAATAAGTTCCATGCAGTCCAAATGCATTTTACATTAAATAAAAATTACAGTAACAACCAAAAGCAAGTATATCTCTCAAGCACTAAATACAATGAGATAACTTGGAAAAACTTTAATTCAAAATATCTCTGCAGGGTGATAGACATTGGGGAGGGTATGTGCTATGGTGAGCACTGTGAATTGTGTAAGACTGTTGAATCACAGACCTGTACCTCTGAAACAAATAATACATTATATGTTAAAAAAAAAGAAGAAGAAGAAGAAGAGGAAGATAGCAGGAAGGGAAAAATGAAGGGAGAGAAATCAGAGGGGGAGACGAACCATGAGAGACGATGGACTCTGAAAAACAAACTGAGGGTTCTAGAGGGGAGGTGGGAGGATGGGTTAGCCTAGTGATGGGTATTAAAGAGGACATGTACTGCATGGAGCACTGGGTATTATACACAAACAATGAATCATGGAACACTACATAAAAACTAATGATGTAATATATGGTGATTAACATAACATAAAAAAAACTGAACGAAATTAAAGACCTAAACAAATAGACATTCCACATTCACATAGGAAAACTTTACGTTGTTAAAATGGCAATAGTCCCCACATTCAATGTCACTACTATCACAATCCCAGCTGGCTTCTTTACAGAAACATGCAAAGTGCAAACTGATTCTAAAATTCACATGGAAATGCAAGAGATCCAGAATAGCCAAAAAAATCTTGAAAAAGAACAAAGCTGGAAGAATCATACCTCCTAACTTCAAAACTTACTAAAAAGCTATGGTGATCAAGACAGGCAGCTAAGGGTACCTGGGTGGCACAGTCATGTAAGCATCCAACTCAATCTCAGCTCAGGTCTTAATCTCAGGGTCATGAGTTCAAGCCCTGCATTGGGCTCCATGTTGGGCATGGAGTCTACTTAAAAAAAGAAAAAAAATTGGGGCACCTGTGTAGCTCAGTCAGTTGAGTGTCCAACTCTTGACTTCAGCTCATGTCATGATCTCAGGGTCATGAGACTGAGCCCTGCACTGAGCTCTGTGTTGGGCATGAAGCCTGCGTGGGATTCTCCCTCTCCCTCTCCCTCTTCCATTCCCCCTCCTCCCTCCCTCGCCCTTGTGCTTGCTCTCTTAGGAAAAAAAAAAAAATAGCTAACCAGTTATTGTACTACCAGCATGAGAAGGATGTACAGATCAACAGACTAGAGAGTCCAGAAATAAACCTCACCTTTATAGTCGATTGATAGTCAACTAGAACGCCAAGATAATTGTGGAAAGAACAGTCTTTTCAACAAATGGTGCTGAGACAAATGGAAATCCACATGCAAAACAATGAAGCTGGACCCCCTGCCTCATGCCATATACAAAAATTAACTCAAATGAATTAAAGAGCTAAAGGTAAGAGCTAAGCATAGGCATAAACCTTTGTAACCTTTAAGTAGCCAATGGCTTCTAAATTATGACACCAGAAGCATAAACAACAAACATGCACACAAAAAGATAATTTGAACTACATCAAAATTTAAAATGTCTGTGCTTCAAAGGACACCACCACCAAGTCACATACCCAGAATATATAAAGAATTTCTACAATTCAAATGGGTAAAGATTTGAATTCTTCCAAAGGAGTTATACATATGGTCCATAAGCATATGAAAAGATACTCAACCTAATTAACCATCAGAAATGCAAATCAAAACTAGATGAAATTTCATACACCCCAGTATTGCTACCATGCAGCACGATTCACAGTAGCCCAAAGGCTAAAGCAACCAAAATGTCCAAAGATGGATGAACAGGTAAACAAAACATGGTTTATACACACAATGGACTATTAGCTTTAAAAAGGAATGAAATTCTGACACATGCCACAACATGGATGGACCTTGAAGATAGCACGCTGAGTGTAATAAGCCAGACACAAAAGGGCAAATATTATATAGTTCCACTTGTAGGAGATGACTAGGCAAATTCAGAGAGGCAGAAAGTAGAATCGTGGCTCCCAGGACTGGGAGGAAAGGGAGATGGGGAGCTATTGCTTAGTGGGTACACAGTCTCAGTTTGGGATATGAAAAAGTTCTGGAGATGGATGGTGGGAATGGTTGCACAAAAATGGGAAGGTACTCAATGCCACAGAACTGTCCATTTAAAGATAGTGAAATGGTAAATTTTACGTAGTCTATTTTACCACAATTAGAAAGCAAACGGACAGTAACAAGTTTTGTTAGGGATGGGTAAACACTGGAATTCTCACCCACTACTGGGGGACAATGTAAAATGGCACAGCTGTCTCGGAACACGGAGTTACCACACAATGCCACAATTACACTCCTACAGGTATGAGGAGAAATAAACACATGCCCACTCAAAACCGTGCATACGAAACTTCACAGCAGCACAATTCACAATAGCCACAAGGTGGAAATGACCCACATGTCCACTAACTGATGAATGGAAACATACAATGTGGTATATACAACAGATTATTTTTTGGCACTAAAAAGGAACATAGGACTGATACACACTGTAATTTGGATGAATCTTAAAAACATTAGGTTAGGTGAAAAAAGCCAGTCACAAAAGAACACATATTGTGTTATTTCATTTACACGCTATGTCCAGAATAGACAAATGTATAAAGACAAAAACGCGTGGTTGCCTAGGGTCAGAGGAGAGAGAAATTGAGGGAAGATGGGAGTGACTGCTAATAGATATGTGGTTTCTTTGTGGGATGATGAGTATTCTCAAGCTGACTGTGATGATGGCTGCATGACTCCGTGAATATGCTCAGAGCCCCTGAATTGTACACTCCAACTGGGTGAATTACATGGGATGTCAATCATATCTCAGGAAAGCTGTTATCAAAGAAATAACTATGAACCAACTCCCTCTTAAGAGTATTTACCAGAAAAACCAGTGATCAAAGATGATGACTTAATTGTAAATTTCGTCATTTCGATCATAGTTCAAAGATGGACTTAGCAATTACTCTTCTGAGTCTCTATATCATATGTGAAAAAAACAAAAAGTCCCCCTCTGCTCACCTTGATTGAAGGAGAAGTCTTCTGGGGTGAATGCTGAGTCCTATCCTCACCAGGGCTTAATCCCACTGCAGTGCTCGTTCTTGGAGTTGGACGAGAACTGGAAAATACAGACCAGTCAACATTACTCACATTTTAGAAACTTTAACGTGTTTACTATTATCTGGAGGGGAAAAAACACACCTCATGAAAAAAAAACAGAATAATCAAGATTCTAGGTGATCTCATATATTTAAACCCTAATTTGTGATTATCCAACACTTTTTTTGTAAATGTCAAAGCAATTTCCTGGCTAATTTATTTTTATTTATAGCACCCATGTTATATACAGTAGTTTCTATTTTAACTAAAAACCTTAAAACATTGATTTTATTATTTTTTAAATGTCTGCTGGTATCAGGAATGACATAATAAAATAGATCGGACTCTACAAAGGATGGAAAGTATTTACAATTTCAGAATATGTTTGAAATGGAAAATGATCTTGGTACCTATTTAAGAAACAAGTTATAATCTGCATCTCTTTTTAATGATCCCTCCTACCCTTAAAATTGGTTGTCATACTCTGTGGGTCACTCCATTACTCCTGGGTCTCTGATTGAGTTTTTCATTTTAAGAAATTTTTCCATTCAGATCATTAGGGTCTTTTACAATGAATTCCTTCAAATTCCCAAGTATCAAGATTCTCTCCTCTCTTTCACTTATCTGTTTATTCATTCCTTGAACTCCTTATTTAACTCACAAAATATGCCAAAGATCAAAGTTTTTAAAAACTGAATTAAAATGCCTAGAATGTATATAGATAAAGTTAACATATTTTATATTTAAATAGAGTAAAACAAGTCAGGAAACTTTAGTTCATTGTTACAACCCCTATGTCATTAAAATAAAGCTATTTGTGTCTAAGACTAAAACTATAAAAAAAATGTAACACAACACGTATTACTAAGATTTTAAATACATTGGTCTTAATCACATTAAAATACCATTTGGTTTTTTGGGCGCCTGGGTGGCTCAGTCGGTTAAGCGACTGCCTTTGGCTCAGTTCATGATCCTGGAGCCCCGGGATCAAGTCCCGCATCGGGCTCCCTGCTTGGCGGGGAGTCTGCTTCTCCCTCTGACCCTCCCCCCTCTCATGTGCGCTCTCTCTCTCTCTCTCTCAGTCTCTCAAAATAAATAAATAAACCTTTAAAAAAAAATAAAATGCCATTTGATTTTTTAATTATTTCGATGATTACATTAAGTAAACATTATTGAGGCCTCCATATAAAACAACACAACAAAAAACACCTGTTCTTTCCTGTGGGCCTTTATCCAATAAAGAAGCTGGTCTGCTAAAATTTCAAATTTAATTCTATTTGAAGGGAAAGTACAAAATGAAGAGGTTTCAACCCTTATGAATAGGTGGTTCAATTAAAAACTTTTAAAAAATGCATAGCCAAGTCAACATTCCATTGGCCAGCACTTAACATTAACTTTGAAAGCAGAGAGTGAAACTGGAATTTGGCACTAACATCCCTGTCCTTTAGCTCTGTGTAACACAGTTTGTCACCAGGACAACAGATGCTTCGGGAAGACCCTATCATCTCCTATGGATTCTCTCCTGCTCTGTCAACATACCTACCTGAGAAGAAACATGGACTCATTCAGTTGACCCCCAACAGTACTTTTAGGCCGCAACTCAGTTGGATTTTCTGTGGCAGGAAAGAAAAACATTATCCATAAAGGACCAAAAATACCATGAGAAGAGCAGGATGCAGACAAAAATTTTAAAGGCGTGGTAACAAAAACTAGAAACTCTCAGAAACAGCATTGTGAGCGGCATGAACGTGCTCCAGCGAGAGCTCACCTAGTCTGAAAGAGTGACTTAGTCGTTGACCACTCTTCTCCCCCTTGGCTTGTCTGCTCGGAGGCTTCAAAAACTCCTTGGAATCTTGTGTCCCAGAATGCTCCATCACTTTCCTGCTGTTCAACAGGAGAAAGCCAACACAATCAAATTTACTTTTGAGCTTTCTATCATTTTCTGTGTAGAACAAGAGCTGGGAAAAGATCATTAACTTCCAGGTAACATTTGGCAAAGCCGTGGAGTTGGAAAGTATGGTCACTGAGCAGCTAAAATGAGCACTCACTATACCAAAGGCATTGAACAGAGTCTATAAACCTTATCCCTGAGAAATAAATAGCAGCACTCAGATTGGGGAAAGAAACCAGAACCAATAAACCCACAGTGAGTTTCCCATTTATTTTTCTTCTTCCAGTATTGCCTGGCCTGGACTCAAAGGCAATGAGTACAGACAAAAGGAGCCCCCAAGAGAAGCTTCCTATTTCTGTTCTAAGGAACAGGACAGGGGACCTCTAAGGGTCAGAGCAGGGGAAATCCCCTGGTTTGTTTTGGTTTTTTGTTCTGTTTTGTTTCTTTTTCCATTTTATTCTGTTCCAGCCTCCGGGTAATCCTGCAGCAGCTAGCTGGGGAAACGGCAGCTTCTAGCCAGTGCCTACAACAGAGAGGGGCACCTCTTTTAATCACACAGCTATGATCTCAAGAACATGAGGCAAATCCCTGTTGCTCTGTTCTTTTTTTCTATCTTGCTGTCCTCCTGCCACTTGGCCCCAAACACCTGCAGCAAGACATAAAAATTCTAAAATAGCATGACTAAGTGGGGTTTACTGTAGGATTGCAAGGCTGGCTCAATATTTGAAAACCAATTTATGTAAGAGTCCATAATCAGAGCCTAAAGAAGAAAACCCATATGATCTTATCAACTGACAGAAAAAGGCATTTGACAAAATTGAACGTTCATTCAAACTACAAAGAGCAGCTACACAAACCTCCAGCTCATTGTACTTAATGGTGAAAGGCTGAAGGCTTTCACCCCAGAGGCAGAAACTAGGCAAAGATATTCACTTTCATCACTCCCGTTCAACATCTTACTGAAAAAGGCTTAGGAAGGGCAATAAGGCAAGAAACAAAATCAAAGGCATAGAGATTTAAAAGGGAAGATGACAAACTAAGGGCAGAGGTGTTCTGTGACTTGCTAATGCTAGAGGACCAGGACCAGGGCCCCACTTTCTGTAGTCCCCACAGACCCTAACACAATGGGGAGAACAGGATTGAATCTCACTGGATCAGAGAAACCCAAGTTTGGGAGAGACCTTAAATAAAACTCAGGCTTCTCTTATCCAATACACTGAATCTGCCAAGATGAAAATCCAGAATCAGACAATCATTCACCACTGAATAAGTGGAGGGGGAGCAAAGCCAATTAACAGAACTTTATTCGACCACTTCTCAGCTGGTTCTTTATACCACCACTTGTGTAAGTGTCCTGGGCTAAGAAGATTTCATAACAAAAATGAGGTGTATTAGTCAGGATCAGACAGGAGCTAGGTTATACTGTGGTAAAACACAACCCACCAATCCCAGTGGCTTAAATCTCATCACTTTGTCTCACTCATGCACACAGCCATTGCAGGGAAGCTATACTCATCACAGTCACGGAAGACCCGGCCTGACAGCAACCCTATTTGGACATTTTCATCCCAGTTACCCCATCAGGGGGAAGAAATGTGTCAAATCTCACACTGGCTTGTAAGGTTTCCATGCAGAATGAACACACGTCACTTCTGCTCACATTTCATTAGCCAAAGCAAGTCACATAACCACATCTAACTCAAAACGGGGAAATGAGATCCTACCATGTGCGTGCAAGGTGGAAAGTGAGTTACATTTGGTGGCCAGAGCTAATGACTAGCATACTAAATCACTGGAGAATAAACAACTGATCAGAAAAAGCAAATTCGAGAACACAGAATGTCATGACTAAACTCTTTAAGCAACGCTTAAAGAAATGTTTGATTTTCTCCTAGTCAGCGGAGAAATTCGATAGAACAGTAATCAGTATGATCATCTAATAACCATGCCCCCCACACAAAGATAAGCTTATATACTACCTGACGTTGGAATCCTCAGGGCTTGATTCCTGATCTTTCCTAGTGAAGGCATCCTTCCAAAATGAATGCTGCAGTAAGCCTGCCCAAGTTAATCTTTATAAAACATAATTGTTAAAATTCTATTTTAACATGATTTATTTACCATGCACAATTCCCAAGTCATGTCCCAACTACATCTACCAGATTTTAGGATTTATAAATTTGTCTCTATAAATGAAGCTCAGCAATTCTTTCATACTTTACTTTCATTTTTTTTTTTTTTTAAGATTTTAATGATTTGAGAGAAAGAAAATGCACCAGAGAGCACATATATGGGCAGAGGGGATACGGGAGAGAGTCTCAAGCAAACGCCCTGCTGAGTGTGGAGCCTGACGCGGGGCCCAATCCCACCACCCTGAGATCATGACCTGAGCCAAAACCAAGAGTAGGACACTTAACCAACTGAGCCACCCAGGCGCCCCTATTTTCATTTTAGTATACAATTAATCTCTTAGCAAAACCCAAAAAAATAATTCAGAAGCCTTAAATGGTACAGAATGAAAGAGTCTGACAGCTAAGTATTAGAAATCTCAGGGCTCATACTCTATGGAGCCTGATGAAAACACTTTGAGTTCTCAAAACAGTCTATGAAAGGAGTGTATTTTTTTTTAAAGATTTTATTTATCTATTTGACACAGAGAGAAACAGCAAAAGAGGGAACACAAGCAGGGGCAGAGGCAGAGGGAGAAGCAGGCTTCCCGCTGAGCAAGGAGCCCAATGCAAGGCTCGATCCCAGGACCCTGGGATCATGACCTAAGCCAAAGGCAGACGCTTAACGACTGAGCCACCCAGGCGCCCCTATTTTCATTTTAGTATATAATTAATCTCTTAGTGAAACCCAAAAAAATAATTCAGAAGCCTTAAATGGTACCAAATGAAAGAGTCTGACAGCTAAGTATTAGAAGTCTCAGCGCTCATATTCCATGGAGGCTGATGAAAGCATTTTGGGTTCTCAAAAACAGTCTATGAAAGGAGTCTATAATTAGCTTAAAATTTTAAAGTAAACATATAAATTATCAATCTATAATTCTGTCATCCTTTATTCTATATACCCTACCTGTTTCACACATTTCATGTTGGGGACTTCACTTTTAGAACCGCATTCAGAAATAAACAAGAAAATTAACCTCATAATTTTACACAGTCACACTTCTGTGTAGGAGCCAAAATGTTATCTAGCTAGTTCACCCACATTAAAATGACTTCAGGCTGTATCTAAAATCCAGACTCACTTTCAATGCATTAGTTTTTATAATTAATAGAGGTTTCTAGTTATAATCATCAGACTTGGAATGGTTAAGCCTGACTGAAATTTCAAAACAAAAGAGAAAATGTGATTATTCAAAATGTCTCTATTGAAATAAAGACTACTTTGGGGTGCCTGGGTGGCTTGGTTGGTTAAGCATCCAACTCTTGATTTCAGCTCAGGTCTTGATCTCAGGGTCATGAGTTCAAGCCCTGTGTTGGGCTCCACACTAGGCATGGAGCCTACTTTAAAAAAAGAAAAAAAGAAAAACTACTTAGATCAAAACTAAAACATGATTAATGAAGAGAAAGAATCTGCAATCACATATAATACCCCTTTTATACAAAGGGCTCTTAAAATTCACTAACAGAGAAATAAAAATTGCCAATAAAGTGAAATTTCTTTTTCATCTGGCAGCTTGGCAAATATAAATAAGGTCAACAAAGTCCATTGTAGGTAACACAGGGAGGGAAGGGGCTCTCTAAGGTTACTAAACCAGCACACATTCCAAGAATGTAGCAAATGCATCAAACTGTTTCATGTTCTTAGCCTCTGGCCACCAAACCCACTGTCAGAAATCTCTCCAAAGCTGCTAACTACCTAAGTGAACAACAACAAATACACAAAAGGATTTTTACTGTAGCAGCCCATATAATATTCTAAATCAAGAAACACTCTAGGGGTGCCTGAGTGGCTCAGTTGTTAAGCGGCTGCCTTCGGCTCAGGTCATGATCCCAGAGTCCTGGGATTGAGCCCCGCATCGGGCTCCCTGCTCAGCAGAGAGCCTGCTTCTCCGTCTCCCTCTGCTGCTCCCCCTGCTTGTGCTCTCTGTCTCTATCAAACAAATAAAAATCTTAAAAAAAAAAACCACTCTAAATGTGCTTAAGGTTAGCACATGTACATTCTACAGCCATTTAAAAGGACTTAGCAGACATATAGAAAGAACTAGGTTACAGAGTGGTACCACTTATGCAATAAAGTATACAAGAATATTAATATGTGGAAATGTGAATACACCATTCTCAAGTATATTTGTATCCTACCAAAAGAAAGACTATAGCAAAATAACACCAATCCTAAAAGCATCCATTGTAAGCGCAAGGGGTTTGTCCTACAACTTATACAAGAATTAGCATCTCCTTCTGCAGTTTTTCTCTTATATTTAAGGAAGCTAGAGAATGCATTATTTTACATGCTACACTGAACTGACTCTTCATTTTACACCCTGAAGCAGAGACCCCAGATAGTTGCCTGAAAACCCCCCAGTTACCTAGAGGCAGAATCTGAAGTAGAAACCAGTTGCTCTTGTCTGCCAACCCAGGGAGGCCCCCTCCGGGCTGCTCCCCTCCTCCCTTCCACCCTCCCCTATCCCGTGCCACAGTGATTTCTAACTTTCTGCCATTACTGTAACCCAGAAAATTCACACTGTGCCTATGATCCTCGCACTTGATACCCTCGTTATGACAGGATTATCATAAAAACATATCACATTAAAATACCACTCAGTAGTTATTACATTAACTACCTTGACAGCATCATCCCTCGTTCAATAGTATAAGACAGTTTTAGCCTGAAATCCACAATGGGAAAAAATGCCCCTCTTGGATTTGGGAGTTACAAGAAAATCTGTCAACCTACTATGCAACTATTTAATATATTAAAGGATAAATGGACTTTTAAAACTTCCTCATGATTAAAAACCCCTGCGAACAGAGAGAGAGAGAAACCAAGAAACAGACTGTTAACTAGAGAAAACAAACTGTTGGTTACCAGAGGGGAGGTGGGGGGGGAGGATGGGTGAAATAGGTGATGGGGATGGAGGAGGGCACTTGCTGTGATGAGTACCGGGTGATGTATGGAAGTGCTGAATCACCATATTGTATACCTGAAGCTAATATCACACTGTATGTTAGGGGCACCTGGGTGGCTTAGTCGGCTAAGCAGCCAACTCTTGATTTCAGCTCAGGTCATGATCTTAGGTCATGGGATCGAGCCCCACATAGGGCTTCCCACTCAGCAGGGAGTCTATTTCTCCCTCTCCCTCTGCCCCTCCCCTCACTCACCCTCTTTCACTTTCTCTAAAATAAACAAATCTTTAATATTACACTGTATGTTAACTGGAATTAAAAACTTAAAAATACCTGCAACAGAGAGAAAACTCTAAAAAAAAAAAAAAAAGAAAGAAAAGAAACAAAATCTGAGTTTATGCTAAGAGTAATTCGAATAGCTCTCTATATATAACAGTACTATTTTAGAAGTACTTGAAAGGAGAAAAAGATTCCTTTTCTCCATACTAAAATACTACCCATACATACCTTTTCTGAGGATCTTTTTGAAGTAAACCATCAAGCAAATTAATAAAATCTGAAGAAGCTTTAGGAAGAGAAGGATCTATACACAAATTGATTCCCAAAAAGAAAAACAAGTGGTAAGTACATGAATACATACCCTACACCATATCATACTATTTAGAGTAATAGTATTTTAAATACATATCATTTTTAAGAAAACACTGAATCCATTATTAACAATTACAGCCTCCATTTAATGGGGGGTGAGGTGTGGGCATAAAATATTTTTTCCTAGACCATAAAAAACATGAATCTCAAAAACTAAGTCTTGACTAACCTCTCAACTTTCTCTTTATTGAATAAGCCCAGTAAGGATCACCAGCCCAACAAATTCATACCCTTATCTTCAACTTTTAATTATGCCTCATTTTCTGAGGCATTCTTAATTTGACCAACTTGGCTTTACAAGGTACAAGAAAAATGCAATCCTTCTTTTCTCCCTCTCCCTCTTTTAAAGATTCTTAACAGGAAAATAATAAATATGACAATATTATGATACTGGTCGATTCCAGTATTCTCCAAATGTTAGTTCTTTTTAACTTAGAATATACCACAACCAAATTATCAGTCTCTGGTTACAAGTGGCCATGAAGACAGCGGACAAAGACATGAAACAGAGGGTGTTACTGGGCACTATGGCCACAGTTAAAGGAAGATGCCTAATTAAGCCTGGGCCACCAGGGGTATCCTGACCAGACCTTTGACACCTGCATTTTCTGTTTCTCTTCCCTGCATAAAAATCCTTAACTTACAGGACAAACCAATAATATTATGAGTACTCAAAACAAAACAAAAATCAGAAATCATCATTACAGGAGATAGCTTTTGTAGAAATCAGTCATTCTTAATATAAAAGTTAAAGAAAAAACAAATGCAGTTTTCTTTTGTTTTAATAAGTATAGACTATTTTCAAAATAAGATTTTGGGTTTTTTTCCCTCTCAGGATGGCTCTTGAAATCCTAAAAGAATTCTGCATTCCCAGTTCTTCCATTAATTACTTTTAAAAGTTTTTTCTTCTAAAAACGTACATGTTATGTAAAGTCCTGTTTTCATTTGTGTGTCTTGAAACTCACTTTTTTTGTGGTGTACATCCAGCAAAGTGCTTTACTATCTTTTTGTGTTCGGGGCTTTTTCCTTTTCTTGCCTTACAATTGTTAGTGGTAGATTGTTAAATTAATCAAAATTCATATGATTAAAGTTCCAATATTTTTAAAATACTACAACTATATCTAGTTTAAAAGACTTTAAAAACTCATCAGGGACATTCTGATTGAGATAAGGACTGACAAATGACTGACTTGTCCCTATGTGAATACTAAACAGAAATAACTACATGGAACATGAGCACAAAGTAAATGATACACAAGAAAAAAATAACAGAAGTTTGGGTTTTTAAAATCTTTAAACCAGACTTCTGTTGATATAGGAGCACAAAATAATTTGTGTTTTTAAATGAGGGCGTCTATTAGTACTTTGTTCTTCATTTCAAGGTCTTAAAAAGCAAAAGGAATGCTAACATTTCTAAAAATATAAATCTGGAACTATTTATAAAATGTAAATTTGGGGATTAGGAATCAAAAAACAGACTTTGGATAAAAATCCACCATAAGTGTCAGATGTAAACTAACTGCATTTATCTCACACACACACACACACACACACACACACACACACACATTGTACCTTTTGGAATAGGTGGCAAAGGATCTTCATAAAAAATCTTTTCAACTAATTCTGAAAAAGTTTCTGAGAAGAATGGAGGTTTTCCTGAAATCACAAGAAAAACTGCAAATTAGACAATAGTTTGCTATCACTAATAATTCTAAATAAATCTCAACTACAGATAGTTTAGGATTATAAAGTTTACAGGAAAAAATATGGAGCAATAACTACTTATTGAATGCTTGGTACAGACCAGGCACACTGTATATTTTTATATTTCTATATTTTAAAACTTATCATCCTAATAAATATGCTAATGCATTTATGGACCATTACCATGATCCAAGGGCTGCATGGGCCATTGGACACATCTGAAAAATTCCCGGCACAAGGTACCTTACAACAATTTCTACTAATAATCAGTTTTTAATAAGTAGGCACATTTTTCCAAATGATTATCCTGAAAAATACCTATATGTCAAAAGTTCCTTCTATATGTCAAAGGTTCTAGACATTCGCCTAGATGCCAAGCATACAGGAGGAATACAGAGGGAAGCAAGCCAAAACCAGTTATATAAAAACTTAGAAAAGCCAGGTTTTTTTCACATCTTCCAGGTAAAATTGTTGCAAACTACAGACTTCATCTTTTTGTGTGTGCCCGGCTCTGATTTTAAAATGAACCAGAAAGGAATCACCTGAAAACATTTCATAAAGCAGACAGCCCAAAGACCAGAGGTCACTGGTGATGGAGAAGTCAGTACCCCTCAAAATTTCTGGCGCTGTATATGTAAGAGATCCTAGAAGTATAAAGAACAACTTTGTTAAGCATTTGTATCAATCCCCAAAACAAATCTACCTCGCAGGGACCTGGTAAAGTAAAAAAAGGTTGTAGGAAAACGTGCACATGACTATATGCCTTCATGTGTACTCCACATTTTTTAATGGTTTCTAATTTTAAGGTTTCATTTACAAGGATACATAAGAATACAAAGAGGTTTTGAAAATCCACGTGAGTTAGAGGTGTGGCACAATTCTAGGTATATTCTTAAGTTAACAATTTAAATAATCAAAAGAACCTTTGATTATAATATTTTCATTAGAATAGGTTAAGTTATATAGCAGTAACACCCCAAATTCCCACTGGCTTACCAACAAAGGTTCATTACTCCAACTACACGTCCACCACAGGTCAGCCCAGGGGCCCTGATCCTCAGAGTCACTCAAAGAGCCATCTCAACACTTGCTTCCTCCATCACCAAGACAGGGGGAAAGAATGTAGCAAACTGCACACTGGCTCTGAAAATGCCCACCTCAAAGTAACCCCCACACTTCTGCTCACACTTCCTTAGCTTTGGCAGGGAGAAGATACAATCCAGGAGAACAGGAAATGTTTAGTGAAGAACACTAAGGGGTGCCACTTAGACTTTATACAAAGTTTAATATTACAGAGAAGTAGCAAATTCCATGTTCCCTTATTTACTGATGGGAGAAATTGAAGCCTAGAGGGTCCCCTAATATCCCCTAAGTCACATGGCTGAGCGGTTGCAGAACACCCACCAGAATTCCACCAAAAAGCCTTCCATCTTCCAATGAGAATATTCTTTCCATGAAGTGAGTCATCACCAATCATTTGGAAAATAAAATTCCACTGAGGTAAATCTTCCAGCAAACAGTATCTCCAGGGCCCATTATAGCCAGGGCAGCAGTCTCATGTGGCCTCAGGGTTTAAAGCTCTCCTGTGTGACATTTTTGCTATGCTATCACATTTCATACATACATTCACTCATGCAGCAAACCCTTACGGAGGGCCTATTTGCCTTTACTTTGCCAGGTCCTGAGAAAGCAAACATAAATAAGACCCCCAAGATGCCCAAGCACCCTGCCCAACACTTAATAAGCACATCATTTATAGGTGTGGAAGGTGAATGTCTGTCTTCCCCGATTAGAATGCAAGTTTGGTTAGACCAGGGATTTCTGCCTGTTTGTTCACATCCATATTTCCAATATCTAGAACATGTCTAAATTTCTGTTGACTTATACAATTTCTTCTTCCTTGGACATTGAGTTAATAAACATACTAATGAACAAATGAACATGAAGTCCCTACCAACACAACTGCATGAGAAAAGACAACATAGAAAAATGATTATGTGTGTTAAGTTTCACGACAGATTTACACATAGAACATTACAAAAGAGGGGTGCCTGGGTGGTTCAGTCAATTAAGAGTCCAACTCTCGATTTCGGCTCAGGTCACGATCTCAGGTTGTGAGACTGGGCCCCGCATCAGCTCCACACTGGGTATGGAGCCTGCTTAAGATTCGCTCTCTCCCTCTCCCCCTCCTGCCCCAGTCCTACTCACAAGCGCGTGCTCGCTCTCTCTCTCTCTCACTCTCTCAAAAAAGAATATTACAAAAGAGATATCACTTCACAATCTCCCCTCAAGTACAGCAACTCTTAACACCTCAGGCCCCATCTCACTGGCAAAACCACCTCCCAAGAATGCACCCTAACAATCTCCCTTAGTTTCAGGGCATCAGCTACTCATCAATGTTGAAAAAATATCTACTGAGCTGAAAAGTGTGGGCCAGGCACTGTTCTAAGTACCGAGGATACAGAAGGAAGCAGGACAAAACGGCCATCCTCATGTTTAATGAGTAGTCAGTGACATAGAAAGCCAAGGATAGGCTATAGGCTTTGTTAGAGAGTCCCTGTACTTTACACAGTAGTGGACCTATGTGAAAACCTTTGGGTTATGGACAAAGCCATCCCCATATCCAGACTTCTACTCACCATTATTTTCAATATGTTATTTTGGCTGGCAAAAACATAAGGTCGACATCATCTCCTAAACACACGACTTAGGCAGCGCAGGGTTCTGATCTGTAACTCTCCACATACCTTTGGCTCTACTTTTTACGGTTTTCTTCAGTACATTTTCCCCGCTATCAACTCCTCCTTCTTCTGCTGCCACCAAAGCAAAGAACTCTTCCAAATTTTCACCTTCCACTTTGGCCAAGCAAAAATTACTAAACTTCAATATGCCAGGCCCTTCCAAGAGTATCTATAAAGATGAAAAAATAAAGGTGTTCAGAAACCAGTTCCATTTGCACTCCTATCAGTACCTCTTCACATCCCACTGAAGAACTCGGAGCATTGGCCTTCTTGCTTCACACTACTCAAAAAATTAAATGCATACAAATTTTTAAAAGCAGCTAAAGAAAAAAATAAATCGGGGGCGCCTGGGTGGCTCAGTCGTTAAGCGTCTGCCTTCGGCTCAGGTCATGATCCCAGGGTCCTGGGATCGAGCCCCGCACTGGGCTCCCTGCTCAGTGGGGAGCCTGCTTCTCTCTCTGCCACTCCCCCTGCTTGTGTTCCCTCTCTCGCTGTGTCTCTGTCAAATAAAATCTTTTTAAAAATAAACCAATCCAATATTTTAACAATAGAATCAAATATTAAACTGCCCATTCTCAGATGTATACAATGAACACATCATAACCACAGAGGGAAACCACATGCCTTTGGGAAAGATAAAGAACAATGTATATGGAACAATCTATCCTCACCAATCCTCCATGACAGCTGAAGGAGGATTTGAAAACCCACCTGTCCAAGGTGTTGTTTACTCACAGGCTCAAAACTAGGGTTTTGAAGTTAGAGATCTAGCCTTAGGTCCACCATTTACTAGCAGTCCGAACTGGAAAATTTACTTAACCTTTCTAAATCTTAGTCTCTTCACCTGTAATTATGTTCTCATATGGAGAGCCTACAATAATAATGTTTAACAATATTCAACTTTTTATTTCATCATGTACACTTTAACAAAGTAGCAACTCAAACCAAATCCCTAAGAATATGTACTTATAAATAATAGATGACATTGATTGAAAACACCAGAAAGTGCCCTAGAAGCTTAACCTAAATATAGTATGGAATCCATCTCCAGATCATAGACAAGGAAGCCAAGGCAGAGAGAGAGAGAGAGAGAAAGGGTAACCTGCCCAGGGTCAGACAACTTCTAAATGTCAGTGTCACCCGTGATTCTGAAACTAAGCAGGTTTCATGCCTCTACTATACTGAAGCACATTTAGTTATGGATCATTAATTTTACCAGAAAAGAAGCTATTTGACCCATAGTGCCACTAATCAAACAAAGCCAAAAATCCATTATCAAGCTAAAATAATGGCTCATAATCTTATAATTTAAGAGCTTAGCATCTTATAGAGCTACTGAGCTCATCAGTCACAGTATACCTTGGCAGCAATAATTACTCAAAGGATTCTGAGAGGAAGGGAGACTTCCCATTCTAAAAGCTACCTCAATAGGTAGCTAAAATATGGCACTGTTTTTTATTTTAAAAATATATTAACTCAAGGGGCTTCTGGATGGCTCAGTCGGTTGGGCCTCAACTCTTGGTTTCGTCTTGGGTCATAATCTCAGGTAGGGGGATTGGCTCCATGTTCAGCACGGAGTCTGCTGGAGATTCTCTCTCCCTCTCCCTCTTCTTGATAGCACTCACTCTCACTCTCTAAGATAAACAAAATCTTTAAAAGAAAAAAATTAACTCAATTTCCATATGGTTTATATTTTATCTAAATTTTATCTAAAAATAAAAACACCTTTGAGAAAGCACTATAACTAAGACAGAAGCAGTTAGGAAATGAAAACTTTTATGAATTACCTTGCCAGGAGAAATGTCACAAAAGAGAATGCCAAGCTGATGAAGATGATGTAATCCAGTAATGAGGTCAACCCCAAATTCTCTCACAACATCTTCTGGGAGGTTTTCATCTTGAGCAATAACCATTTCTAAGGAACCACCTGCAAGTTGATTAAAATCATCCATTTTAACTCACCAGCATAACACAGTGCCTCCAGGAGCTTCCATGCTGGGAGATACTGAGCCTTTAAAAAATGAGCAAATCAGTACACATGGACAGCCTGACAGGGGAAATACACGTGTGAATGAACACAGTGGTCCAAGCACCCCAAGAGGAATTTGTGTCCACACTCCAGAGCCAGCTTCCAGAGAATTATGCTTAGGCTGGAGACTAGTCAGTAAGCAAGCAGGTGGGATGCAGGGAGAATCCCTCTGGTGCTATGATTTCTAACTCATCCCTCAGGAATTGAACAGCTACAAAAATTAGTGGTAAATACTAATGCAAACTGTGCATTTAAAACACATCATGCAAAGTCTAGCCATATTTACTCCTGTGCAAAGTTAACCACATTCTACAAAGTACTGCATGGCCGAGATGAGGCCTTTCCTTAAGAGAAAATCACAACCCTTCAAGTAATATCACTGAGGAAATAAAACGTCAAAGGCAGACACACTGTGAATTCTATTTCTACACTATTCCAAGGCTGCTCATATTTCTACCATCTAAGTGCTGGGAACAAACTTTTTTTTTTTTTTGTTCCAAAGTATCAAGATTCCAACAGGAGCCAAGTTCAGAGAAACATATAGAACACTGCACATAATGTTCCTTCCCCAGAGCACTCTTTTCTTTGTGAAGATTGTATATCCCAGGCAGCTGTCCTCACTTGGGCTCAAATAAAACTCTTCTGCTTTCTCTTAAAAAAAACAGAAGAGAGGGGAAAAAAAAGAGGAGGGGAGAGAGAAGAGAGAAAAGGGAGAAGAAAAAGTCTTGGGGCACCTGGGTGGCTCAGTAGGTTAAGTGTCCGACTCTTGATTTCAGCTCAGGTCATGATCTCAGGGTTGTAAGATTAAGCCCCGCATCAAGCTCTGTGCTGGGCGTGGAGCCTGCTTATGATTCTCTCTCTCTCTCCCTCTGCCCCACCCCCACCACCCACCCACCTCCACCCCCCGAGCCTGCACACACTCAAAAAAATAAAAAATAAAGTCTCAGCTGTCATCTGAAAGTTCAGTCAGAACACTATGATGAAGGTAGGAGGTATTTTGAAGTTTATTTTGTTTCAGTGGGTGAGGAGCCGCTCCAAACACAGGCATAAAGTAGTAAGGCTAGGACGATGGTCAGGGAGCAGAAATAATGGCTGAATCAAAAAGGAACACAGGGAAAGTCCCCTGATCACCTCAACAGTGTGTTCGACTGTGCAATTAAGCCATAGTCCTTCCCTATTGATTCAGAAAAAATAAAATGCAATTTATTACTCCAGATAACCTCTTTCATGATTCAGTCTCACAAATTCTAAGTTCCAATATAATGGGTAAGATGCATAAAGCTAGAAATTACAATATATCTAAATATTTAATGATCCTTTATTATTCAATGTATGAATAGAAGTACGCTAACAGTGGTCCTTTTTCCCTGAAGACACTGAAACTAAAAGCCCAGATAATATCCATATCTTCAGTTTTCTCCCTATATATATAGTCCCAGAAAGTTGTATCAAGCAAGAGTTATAACAAGTTATCTCTAATTATTGTTAGGTGGTGGTATTGTTGGTTCATCTTTGTACTTTTTCACATTGCTTAAGTTTTATAAACAAGTATTCTCTTCATAAAAATAAAAAGATGATCACTTTATAAACTAATTGCCTAATAGCTACTTGACCTAAAATACTTGGTTTTTATTGAATAGGAAAACTTGTTTGATAAGTTCATCACTAAAAAATATTTCTAAATTTTTATGTAGGTGATTTAGTAATATTTTATACCAAAATAAAGTTAAGCCCTAATTGAATTTTATGGTCTCCCTCTTATCAGACATCTTGGCTCTTTACCCAACCCTAACAACCAAACAACATATGTGCAAGTGAACAGTCAAGAGTATCAAGTGCTTATATTTGCAACACAAAAGGAAAATAACAAAACCTACATCATATGTTTTTTCAAAACTACATAAGGTGGCAGGGCGCCTGGATGGCTCAGTTGGTTAAGTGACTGCCTTCAGCTCAGGTCATGATCTCAGTGTCCTGGGATGGAGCCCCGCATCGGGCTCCCTGCTCAGCAGGAAGCCTGCTTCTCCCTCTGACCCTCCCCCTGCTTGTGTTCCCTCTCTCGCTGTCTCTCTCTGTCAATTAAATAAATAAATAAAATCTTTAAAAAAAAACTACACAAGGTGGATATATCTGAAGCACTTCTTACGCACACTTACCTGTGCAGAGTTCCACCACTAGCCAGAGATGATTGCTGGTTTCATACCATTCGTGAAAAGTTACGATATTCTTGTGTTTAATTTCATGGGTGAGACGGACCTATAAAAACAGAGCATTCACATACACATACACACACTTCTTAAAATCCTCATATCTATTAAGAAACACCTAAATACACAATTGGGAAGTGGGTAACAAGATAGCAGAATGTGGTGGAATTCTATGCAGACATTAAAAATGATGGCTCTGAAGGCTGGTTGACATGGAAAAACGCTAATTTGATGTACAGTCTTAAAAAAAAACTTGTGCAATACAGTTTTGTGTATTTGTGTAAACACAACACTGCAAAAGAAATGTTCATAGGAAAATGACCAAAAGGAAAAAATAGCTGTTATGAGCAGAACTGCTAGTGATTTTTTCTATTTTTTTACATTAAGTACACAGTACTTTTTATAATCAGGAAAGAAATAATTTTCAAGGAAGAAAAAAAACCTTTACTACATAAAAATAACCTCAAGGCTCAATAACACAATAAACTATCAACTGACAAAATATTAGCCCAACTTTAAGACATTTAATTTTGTATCATAATGACAGTATAATAATGTTAAGTAAAAGAGGCAAGAAACGAAATTATATAATACCATGATTTAAAATTTTTTTTAAAAACTCACAGTAAAAAAGACTAGAACAAACAAACCAAAACAGAACAGGACTGCCTCAGGTGATGGAACAATGCTTTTTTTTCCTTCTACCCATTTTTCTAGATTGTCCAAGTTTTCTATAATGATGATGTATTACTTTTAAAATATTTAACATAATTCTCAAAGGATTCTACAATTTTATTCTTAAAAATATCCTTGTGAATCCCAGTATCAATTCACTCAGGTTATTAAAAGAAGAATCATTACAATGAGCACACTGATCTTAAAATGTACACTTCCATTAGATCATGAGAATACCTGTGCCCAAAAACAAGAGTGAATTCAAAACTCAGTAACAAAGATGCAAGAGTCTATCAGTAAAAAAAAAAAAAAACAAAAAACAAAAAACAAAAACAACAACTAAGTCGCCTCAGGCAACTTTTTGCTTTCTCCCTTCAAAATCCCATGAAATATGGAAACTAAAAACCACAAAAATGTGTGCTTTATTAATAAACCATCCAGACTCCAAATTGGTGACAACTACCCAAATGCTTTGGATCCTTGTTTTCTGATTCTCTTAAAAACACACACACACACACACACACACACACACACACAAATTCTACTGTCACTCACATTCAACACAGGCTAATGGGTTCATTGATCCACAGAAATACAGAGCTCCCTATTTTAAAAATGGATAAGTGGTACACTCTAGAAACAACTAGGTGGGCTCATATTCTAACACAAAGGGAAATGAATCCACATAATTTAGAATACAGATAAGGAAAAAAACAAAAATCAGAGTAACCAAGAGAATTTGAGGAGCACCTTATAATAAACTCCTAATAAAGGGCCAGAAGAGAATGGGGAAGACACAGGGTGAGCATGTTTAAGTGGACCCCCACTGATTCAGGCACTGGAAGAGGGAGGTCCTGATGACAAGTAAAGGAGGTGTGGAAATTCCAACAGAAATCAGGCCACAGCCCAGCCACCTACACTCCCTATCACTCAGTATATGCCAAGTACCTACTCTTCCAGACGCTGGTCCACCTCCGCTCTCTCAATCTCCCCAACCACCCATCTGTTGAAATAATACACTCTTTATGCTGGATTAAATATATTAATAAAATGTCCCGGGACGCCTGGGTGGCTCAGTCGTTAGGCGGCTGCCTTCAGCTCAGGTCATGATCCCAGGGTCCTGGGATCGAGCCCCGCATCGGGCTCCCTGCTCCACGGGAAGCCTGCTTCTCCCTCTCTCACTCCCCCTGCTTGTGTTCCCTCTCTCGCTGTGTCTCTCTCTGTCAAATAAATAAATAAAATCTTTAAAATATATATATATATATAAAATGTCCTTTCCATGTGGCTACTATGAACTTTAAAGTTAGATTTGTAGCCCCCATTATATTTCTGTTGGATTGCATTGTTAGGTTTCGACTAAGAGCTGTAACATCTCCAAAATCTTGCACACACCCCTAGACTGTGACCACCACTCCTTGACTTTCCAGCTCACTCACTCTAGTACTCCAATTCTGGTTCCGTTCAGACATCCACACTCCACATATGCACAAGCAACTGAGGCAGACACAAGCCATGCTGACTGATCCAGCTTCAATTTAGGATCCCCAATCTCAAATGGCCCCAGCCAGTCTGTCCTCCAGGTGACAACTCACTTTTGCTTCCCTCTTGCCTGGAATACTGGCTTCCCCCACCCGCTCAACTGAGGACTTAGCTTTTCATCTCAGAGAAAACCTCATTAGAAGAGAAATTCCTTGTGTTCCTAGGGCTGAATTCTACAAACTAATCTGTATCTTGTCCCATATACCTGTTTTCCCTCAACAATCCACACTCCTTACAAAAGCCAACACCTCCTCAAACCCATCAGAATAGCTACCTTCAAGACAAAAACAAAGAGAATAACAAATGTTGCCACCAAAGATGTGGAAAATGGAATCGCTCGTGCACGGTTGATGGGAGTGTAAAATGGTACCGCCTCTGTGCAAAACAGTGTGGTAGTTCCTTTAAAAAAAAAAATTAAACCTAGAATTCCACTTTCTGGGTATATACCCAAAGGACTGAAAGCAGAATATGTCCTGAAGACATACGTGTACACCCATGTTCACAGCAGCATTATTCACAATAGCCAAATGGTAGAAGCAACCAAAGTGTCCAAAGACAGGTAAATGGATAAGAAAAATGTGGTATATACATACAGTGGAATATTATAGTCTTATGTCAGAAATTCTGACACATGCTACAACATGGATGAACCCTGAGGACACCATGCTAAGTGAAAGAAGTCAGTCATCAAAGAAAGGAGGTATGATTCCACTTACATGAGGTACTATTCAGAGACAAAGTAGAATGGTGGTTGCCTGGGACTGGGGAAGGAGAAATGAGGAATTAATTGTTCAATGTGTATAGAGTTTCAGCTGTGCAAGATGACAAGAGTTCTGGACAATCCAGCAATCATACCCTGGGTATTTACCCAAAAGAGTTAAAAACTTATGTCCTCACAAAAACCTGTACACAGATGTTTATAGGAGCTTTATTCACAACTGGAAACAATCAAGATGCCCTTCAATAGGTGAATGAATAAACTGGTACATCTATGTGATGTTGTTCATCAAAAAAAAAAAAAAAAAAGACACACGCTATCAGCCACAGACAGACACAGAAAACTTACATGTGTATTGCTAAGTTAAAGATGTCAATCTGAAAAGGCTACATACAATTCCAACTATATAACATTCTGGAAAAGACAAAACTATGGACATTAATAAAAAGGTCAGTGGTTGCCCAAGGTTAGAAAGAAGGGGGAGGGATGAATAGGTGGAGCACAGTGGATTTTTCGGGCAGTGAAACTCTTCTGGATGATACTATAACGATAGATACATATCATTACACATTTGTCCACAACTATGGAATGTACACCACCAAGAATGCACCCTAAGTCAACTATGGATTTTAGATGATTATGATGTGTCAGTGTGGGTTCATCATTTGTAATATATGGGCCACTCTGGTAGGGATGCTGACAATGGGGAAGACTATGCATGCAGGAGGACAGTGAGTAAGTGGGAAATCGCTACACTTTAATTTTGCTGTGAATCTAAAACTGCTCTTAAGAAATTAACTTTTTAGGGGCACCTGGATGGCTCAGTTAAGCATCCAAATCTTGACCTCAGCTCAGGTCTTGATCTCAGGGTCATGAGTTCAAGCCCCATATTGGGCTCCACGCTGGGCATGGAGCCAACTTAAAAAAAAAAAAAAATGAATTCTAGAGATGGTGATGGTTGTACAGCATAATGAATGTACTTAATATCACCAGCTATAAACTTAAAAATGGTCAAGATGATAAATTTTTTGATACATGTATTTTACCACAATGGGGGGGGGGGAAGCTAAGTTTGGTCCAGAGCCTGGGCTACAAATTTTAAACCCAAGTCACTCTCACCTAATGTCCTTCCTTTGGTAAGCTTCATAAATCACATACTAAATTTATAAGTAAATGATCTAATATAGAGTATATTTTCCCTGACTCTTCCCAAAAAAATAACACTAAGTTGATAATGACTTAGGTATGTTTATTAGTCATTATTCAAGATTGGTGGCACTAAACAGACGGAAGATCACCCATTACAGATTGAAAATGTGGTATTTTCTATAGTGAGTTCAATCGCTTCTATTTAATGCTGCTACCTCTCCTTGATCATAACTCTGTGTTTTCCCAGAGGGAGGGAAACATACTTGACTTACCCAATTGGTTATTTCAGGCCTTTTGCACTTATCAGTACAAAGAATAGCTACAAAATTGATTGTTCCCTTCCGCCGCCCTTTATAAACAACGGTGTTGCTTCCTCGACCAATCTCCTCATACAGAATAAAGTTTACCATCTCTGGGCTGACTTCTCACATTGGATAAAATGACAGCCTAATGGCATCTCTAGTTCCTAAAAGGTAAACAAAAATAATACTTATAAACGCAAGCTAGGTACATGATTAATTAGTCTAGGATACTTAATATGTAAACCTAGTAATTCTATAAACTCAGAAAATTCACCTACAAGTGTTGGATATGAATGTCTTTTGTAGGGTGAAGGAAAAAAAAAAGCTAAGAGGAAAATAAAACAATTGACAAACCAATACTCAATTTCCTTCAACAAGATCTCAACAAAAATGATGAAAATGACAGCTATTTCCAACACATGTAACAAAAAGAGGGATGAATGAGATGCCAGCCAATGTATCTTGATACTTTTCTTTCATTCTTGTTACAAAGGCAGGCACATTGTGTCAATATCTGTATAGAATATGGCAATATATGACCCACCTAAATCTCAAATGAGACAATGTATGTTAAAATACTTTATAAACAAATATGGAATGATATTTCCATCTAATCCACAGAGATTCTAAGAGTCAATCCAAATATTATTTGAAGTCAGCTGTCACCAAACTACTGGGTCCTGGGCCAAATCCAGCCTGCTGCCTGCTTTTGTAAATAAAGCTTAACTGGAACATAGCCACATCCATTCATTTATATATTGTCTAAGGCTCCTTTTAGGCTACAATTGCAGAGTTGTGACAGAGTAATGGCCTGCACACATTCTAAAATATCTACTATCTGGCCCTTTACAGAAAAAGTTTGCCAACTCCTGTTTTATTTTTTTTTTAAAGATTTTATTTATTTGGCAGAGAGAGACACAGTGAGAGAGGGAACACAAGCAGGGGGAGTGGGAGAGGGAGAAGGCTTCCCGCCCAGCAGGGAGCCCGATGCGGGGCTCTATCCCAGGACCCTGGGACCATGACCTGAGCCGAAGGCAGACACTTAATGGCTGAGCCACCCAGGTGCCCCTCCTGTTTTAAATTTAAACAAACAAAAAAATTTAACCAATCACTTCATCATCTACGATACAAGCAGTTGAGAGCTCATTTTCTTGGCCAATTTGTCCTAATTTGCATGACTGAATAAGAATTGATTTAGTCTTATCAAATTTTATTTAGAATTGAAGTACATTAGTGGATTCAGCATCTTGAACAATACCTTTACAATATATCAAAGTATTTACTTGATTGGCAAAATATATTTTAAATTGGCATCTCTTTGGAAGGATTTCATATGCTAGACTATAGAAAATGTTCCAGAAATTATCCAGTAAGCTGTAAGACACACTCTTTAAAAGCAGCTGTTTCTACATGGTATCCAGTAAGTCAGAAACTATAGCAAAACCCTTTGAAACAGAATGTAAAAGAGAAGTTAATGAGTATGGCATTTCTTTTTGGACAGATGAAAATGTCTGGAATTAGTACTGATGGTTGTACAACTTTGTGAATACACTAAAAATCCTTGAATCCGGGTGCCTAGGTGGCTCAGTTGGTTAAGTATCTGCCTTGGGCTCAGGTCATGATGTTGGGGTCCTGGGACTGAGCCCCTAGTGCTCCCTGCTCAGCACGGAGTCTGCTTCTCCCTCTCCCTCTGCCCTCCCACCCCCATGCTCGCTCTCTCCCCCAATAAATCAAATCCTTTTTAAAAACTCACTAAATTGTACATTTTAAAAGGGGACTGTATAGTATGTGAATATCTCAATTTTTTGTTGATATAACTGACAAGTACTTTAAGTTGAAAGTGTACTATATGATTTGATACATTTATATATAAGAATATGATCACTACCATAGCATTAGTTAACACCTCTACATGTCACATAATTATCACTTTTTTGTGGTAAGAACATGTAAGGTCTATTCTCGTAGCGACTTTTAAGTACATAATACACTATTGTTTAGTATAATCACTATGATGTACATCAGATCTCCAGAATGTATTTTCTGTTGTAGGCCATACAAAAACAGGCTGCGAGCCAGATTTGGCCAATATGCAGCAGTTGGTCCCGTCCTGGTATAGGTAACCAGTAATCTGAGAATCTAGGAATAACTAATTCTAGGATTCCATCTTCCAAAGAAATTAAAATTTACTGCAAAACGGGAAAAAATTCTACTATAAAAATGTATAGGCTAGTAGTTACATTTAATTATTTGGATTACAAACCTGGTCTCTATATCAAATCAGAAGAACTCATACTAATGACAGCAAAATTCTTTAAATTCTAAGTAGAAAAGATGTGGGAGAAATCTGAATTTAAATCAGTGAAATGCCAAAAGTGGCACAGATAGTATCTATTTATTTTAATGAACACTTTTACTAAGTTCCCTCTATGTTCCTCTCTTCCTAAAACCCATTCATTAAAAACCAATACTGACTCATGACCTGCCAAAATGCAGCCCAGACAGGAGTAATTTTGTGGCAACAGGTCAACATTACATAGTAGGTAATATAACCAAAGTAAGATTAAATTGACAATATGTTAAGATGGAAAAGCTATTTAGCCAGAAAAAAATAACCAGAGACCTTTAAATGCTCACAAATTGGCTACATTAGGATACACCAGGATAAGGTGTTGAAATAAGTTTTATAAAAGAATTGAGTCCTTGAAAATAAGGTTTTAAGCCCCAAGAAAAAAATTAAATCTTCAAAGTTTGATTTTGATTCAGGCCAAATTATTTTCCTCAATCTTTTACTGAGTAGTGGCATCTAGGCAGACCATGCCTGAAATTAATGAAATGCACCAATTGCAAAGTTGGCTTAGGTAAGGGTGGTTTACTATGGAAGCACTTTCCCTCTCTAGGGCTCAGTTTCCTTAGAGTAAAATAAGAATTGTATCAGATGATCTTCTAAGTTATCTTTGAAGTTTGAAATTCCAGGCTTTTAGATTCTTTTTGGCTCACCCCAAGACCATTCTCACCTAAGACTTCCTAAAATGCTTTTTTTAAAAAATATATAACCTCTTAAATTGTAAAATAAAACACAAATACAGAAAACCCCACAAAATAAATGTATAGTTTAATGAATTATTATAAGAAGGACATCCTTGTGATCACCACCCAGGTGAAGAACATCCCTTTGCCTGCTACTCCAGAAGTCCCTTCCTGAGCCTATGGCAATCACAACTCCTTGTCCTTTCCAAAAGCAATCACCATCCTGTCACGGTTATTACTTCCTAGTGTTTATCGTTTTCTCACCGAGTGTGCATTTCCAGACACCAGTTTAGTCTTCCCCCATTTTCTAAAAGGCGTGCCGCGTCTTTTAAGACTCTCAGTCTACACGTTCACTGAGGTATTATCAGAGAAGCCAGAAGTCAGAAAGAATCACACTTAGGAGCAAATGAGGCATTTAAGATTCAATTTTTTTTTTTTTTTGAAGTTGTAGAACCAAGTTGGCAAATACTGTTTTTTTGAGGATGCTGAGATATATCAAACCCCAATGAGAGAAATAATGGTGTTTCACAGAGCTCTTAGGTAGAAAGAAATAGGCCAAGATTTATAGCTGCATTTATTTCTAAGGTGATTCTATATCAAAGGTCAGGTAACATATATTCTGTGCTATGCTATAGAGTGTTTCAAGATGGATTTTAAATTGACGGAGTCTCCAGTTAGCACAGATATATCACATTGAATGTTAAGGAAGAGGGAGAGCCTCAATATGATACCAACACATGGCTTACACAGTTCCGCAAAGCTTTAAAATGTAAGATAACCCCATTATAGTAATTATAAGAGACGAGATTATTGATTTTTTTTTTACAATACCATTTAATAAATTAGTGAAATGTCAATAATATAACCAGTGTGCTTGCTAGAAAGAACATACCTTGTAAAAACCAGACTCAGGGCTATTATTTGTGAGGCTGAATTGAACTGTTCAAGTTTTAAAATGAGAACACCATCCTGCGGTGTGAAAATGCAACAAACTCTGAAACTGACCAGGTGCTAGAGGCACGCAGATAAAGACCAGAACCCTCCTTTCACTTACCTCTAAATCTTCAGATCATTAACCCCTCAACTAGCAGCAGCTGTCCCAGCCCAGACCTATTGAATCAGAAACTTTGGAAGCAGAGCCCAGCTATCTGTGGTGTAACTCACCAACCCCCCCATGCCCTGATGCACGCTCAACTTCGCTAACCACAGGCTAAAACAACCGTTTTCGAGGGTATAAAAGGTAGCAGGCACTGTGCCAAGCATTCAACAGGCGCTCCTCCTTGACAGGCCGAATTAACTACAGGTTTTAAGCTTAGTCTGATCTCGAAAGTGCAGGCGCTGAATCGCTGCATAAACACTCCCCACTCCAAGAAGCTCATGACCAGCGAACTGGCGGCTTTCGCTGTCTCTCTACGTCCATGGACGTCCGTCAGCACAGCCGGCTTAGAACTCAGGAAGCGTCGCCAAGGTTTTAAGGGGAAAAACTCCGAATCTGGGGCGTCCATAAAGCGCATCTCCCAAACCTCTACAGTCCCGAATCCCCCCCTGCACCTAAGTCCTGGAAGAAGTGTCCCATGTGCCTGGAACCAAAGCCTCAAGAAAACTGTTTAAGGTTTTTAGTTTAACACGATAACAAAGCAGAACCCGAAGAGAGAAGACGCAAGAGACACAGGGTTCACGGAGAGAGGGCAGGTGGATGGCGCCCCTCCAGGCCTGTAGTGTCCCCCGCACCCGCTCAGGAAGACACGAACCCAAATTCGTAGACCCTAAAACTGCTACTGCCACTCACCTGAACGCTCGGTGTGAAAAAGCCGCCCACCCGGTGGAAGGTTCCCGCCACCGCGCGCGTCTAGCCTTCTAATGCTTCAGGGCAGGTCCACTGGCCAAGGCCCGGGGTGAAGAAATGGAGCAAAGCGGAATGCGCAGGCGCAGTTTAAGGTAGTGCAGGTCCAGCACCCCTCTGCTTTTGGATTCGCCCATTCCGTCTCCAGGGCAGCACGCAGAACGCCGGAAGTAGCGCAGGGCGCTGACTGGCTAAGCAGTTTGAGTTCCTATTGGCTTGGGCCCGGAAGTGGTGGGCCGAGGCAGAGCGTTTGTCCAACCTAATTGGGGGTGGGGACTGGGGTTTTGGGCGG